CGCGAGTGAGCACCCGCGCACGCACGCGCACGCACGCGCACGCACACGCGCACGCGACAGACGCTCTGGCGGGCTGGAAACGCGCATGCGCGCACGCGGGAGAGGATTCGCCGACTACCAGACGGATCGATTGATTGGTTAATTAATGATTCCGAGCGCGTCAACGGATAAGGTCATTAGTCCCGTAAATGTAGTTCGTGTTTTACCGCTGGGAGTGGTGGTGGTGGTGGTGGTGGTGGTGATCTTCTCCAGCTGGATGGCGAGACGCGGCGCCGACCTAAGTCGGCTTGAGGAATTTCCTCAACTAGGTATCCGCCACGTGTACAGCAAAGCACCGGCCCAGCCGGGACAAGCTCTAAGCTCGCGACTGGTCTCCCTACATGTGGTAGTGTCCTGTCCTAAGCTCGATTGCCCGATACGGCCGACCAACATGTAGTAGAGTGGTGCATGTAATTGTGTGCGTAAGTAAGGGGTGAGGAAGAGGAAGGAAATATACGTGCATGGTCTTTTGACCATTTGGCAGGATTCTGTTTGTTAGGGTGCTACTGCGGCATTCGTGTGATGTTGATCGGAGAAACCACGGAAAACTACCGATCAGAGGAGCCGGCCTCTAGAATTCTTCTCTAGACAGAGACGCACGACCGTGGCGGATTTTATACCCTAGCTACCTAGCCAGGTAGAATGTTTTGTTCGTTCAACATTTATTATTATTAATATTCGTAATTCAGCCGCTATCTGCAGGAGTCCGGGAATAAGTATTACTAGCCTCTGGGGTACGTAGGAAGTCGAAAATGGTCAACGGTCTTAAAAGGTATGTAACCGTCATTATAGTTATGACCGACACTAGTTTTTAGAGAGAAAACATCGAAAAGGTTTTTTCTATCCACTTTTGTGGATAGGAGTCATTGAATCTTTTAAGAGGTGTACTCTTTATTTACGGTTTATGAACTACAGTTTTCCTCGTGTATCCCCTAAGAAAACGTCAAGCCTCAATTTCTTAAAATTTCTAGTACCATAGTCCAGCGATGACCCAATCAAAAAAATCAGTAAATACATTACGTGCAGCTGAGCTGGGATAATGGGACCCGTTCTTTCGCCACCCTTCCCGCCACGTTACGATAACTACCGCAGAGGGAGTGCGCAGCGGGGCTGAAGAGTGTGTCTCCGGCGCAGGAACGCGTCTGAGCGGAGCATGGTGATGGAGTGGAAGAGCAGCCAGATGCGGCAGATGGCGCTGGAGCAGGAGCTGCAGGACCTGGAGGACCACCTGAAGACGCTGCGCGAGAACAACCACAAGGCCGAGTCGGACATGCGCACCCGCCGCACCAAGCTGGAGCGCCAGCTGGAGGCCATCATCGCCAGCTACGACAGCGACATGTCCGAGCGACAGGTGCGCCACCCCACCCCCCACCTTGCTAACCGCTTAAGGGATGCGGCATCAAAACATCCAGGGTTTTTATAAAATCATTGATGGATTTTAATATCGACATTTTGAAGCAGATTTTTTATCGGTGTTTTCTTTGGAGGTTTTGCGTGTTTGTTTTGTTTTGTTTTATGAAAAACGTACTACTATAACAAAAACCTATATTAATAATAAACTATCTATAAATTCAACATTATTGAGATCAAAGTGACGGAGGATGGAGATTAACTAAAATGGGGTTTTCGTTTGTTTTTTAAATGAATAATTTTTTTAATTATTCAATCACATAATAAAAAGTTGTTAAACGCCTTGATCATTTTGTCAGTTAAACGCCTAGTAAAAATTAATAAACGTGACCACGGTCAAATTAAATTCCCCCTCCTTGTGTGAACACTAATGGTTACCAAAGAAGCTTTAAAAACATTAATGGTTTAAGAGCAATGTTTTATTAACAAGGATTATTTAATTTTGAACTCCGAGGTTAAGAGACGCGCATGTTTGCATTGACGGCGCGCAGGCGGAGCTGGACCAGCTGACGCAGGAGCTGGAGGACGAGCGGCGCGCGCTGGCCGAGCTGCAGACGCAGCTGCGCGAGCAGGAGGAGGACTACGAGCAGCTGCTGGCCGAGCGCTCCGAGGAGGAGGAGGCGCACTTCCAGCGCCAGCTCTGGACCTTCCTCACCAACCGCGCCGCGCGCGTCATCCAGCGCGGCTGGCGCGAGCACCTCGTGCGCAAGGTACGCCCGCGCCTCACCGA